TATGGCAGGTAGTGTTTTCACTGAACAGTCACTGTCAGTTTAACATTTTGTCCACCAAAAGGACTCTAATTCCTGGGAAGACAGGGACAAAAGGTATCTCCCCATTCTTGGTGACAAATACTTGTTTAAAATGATGAAATGCACGCGGAAGCAGAACGCAGGTATTCGATTCATTTTTACAAGGGACCTGCACCAATGAGCAAGCGCAGAGAGGCAACAGTGTCCGGGGAAAACGTGCTCCCATTACCGAACATTCTGCTGCTCGAGCAGTTGAAATTCCTGACACAAATCTCCTGAGGTTCACAGTCAAATATAAGTCCATTTGAAATGGTCGTAAACTCCCCTGCTGCCCCTCCCTCTTCACCTCCGATTTATTCCACAATTCCAGATTATTTTCTCATAGACTCAAAGGGTCACAGAGGAAAAAAGCTCCAGCATTCCTCTGTGTGGAAGTCGCACAGACTGTCCAATCTGGGAAGGATGCCTGGCCAGCTCTTGTTTAAGTGCCTATAAAAACGTGCCTTCAGCAGCCAGAGTGTACCCACACTAATGTGGCCAGCATGCTGGGGACGGCCGCAGGAGCTGGCGCTGCGCTGCCCTCCCAGAAGCTGATGTTGGACTCGGGGGGAGTCATCAGACCCCATCACTTGTCACTCGCGGGTGCCAGTGCACAATGGGGACAGCCCTGTTCCCCAGCAGCCATGAGACAGCATTCTCCCCACCGTGCCCCAAACACAGCCACCTCTCTCCTTAAAAGAAATCCCTCTTTTCACAATCACTTTTATAGTCCGCCTCCCTAAAACACACTGGCCGAAAGGGGTGGACTCACGAAGCCTGGGCAGGGTCTCCCCTTCATGCTAACGCTACGTCCACAGCAGTTGAAGCATCCACATGAGTCTGGTCAGGATCCTCCCAACAAACTCACTTGCCTCCTGCTCCCTTCACTGTTCTGTTTCCAGGTAGCTAGCCAATCCCTTCCCATCTAGGTTCAGAGAACTCCGTCCCGGCTTCCTCGGGAACATCAGGAGGGACTGTGTGAGGACCAGGCGGTCTGCCACACACACAGTCAGAAACCAGGACTCCGGCTGGTCCTTCTCTCTTACCTGTTGGGGATGAGCCCACAGGCCCTCCTGTGAATGCGCTGGACACAACCAAAATAAAGCGGGAGGTGGGTGCGTTCTCTGGGCACCATCTTCAGTATGCGCACCCTCCACCAGAGGAATTCTATCCAGAACAACTGAATTAACTAGCTTCTCAGGACTAGCTTTATAGTAGATAAAGTGAGATTAGTAGCTACAAGTAAACACTATCCACATTTTTTATTTACCACCGTAAATGTACCAGACAACTGCTCAATCCTCGGGGTAACCTCTGTTGGGCAAACCTATGCTTTTTTGGACATATTTTTATATGTAATTAGTGTTTACAGTTGATAGAGTCAGTTGCCTCATTACTTAAACTGAATGTAAGTAACTTACATTCTATGAGAATGGAATTAAAAAGACTTTGTTTATGTAATGACTGTAATCATATATAGGTATAGATGGCAATGTCTCATGTTTCACATACATAAATATGGAAAACACTGGAAATATAAGACAGAATCCCAAACAGGCTTCCAAAAACTCTAACAGGTGTTTCTGAACTCATTTTCTAAGGTTATGAAGCCTGTTTTTAGGACAGCAGGTGTGACTGGCACCAAATCCCCCAGTGTGTACATCAACATGACTTCCCTGCAGCAAAGCCTTTCTACATACTCGCTCAGCACAGGTCTTCTTTCCACTCCACTGGAGGAATCAATCCACGCAGCCAAGCGATATGAGTAAGTGACACCCAGGATCCATCGCTGGGTTCTGTACCAGAACCACACAGGACCAGCACCTGAGAGACACGTGCACTGCAGCCACCAGACTTCCTCTGCAGCTCAGCCTCCATGCCTCTCCCCTAAACCACCTCAAACACACCTTCTTGTCTATCCAGAAGGTTCAAGCCAAAAAGCAGCTTGGAACTTGTCACTCCCCCTCTCTTCCCCACCCCTCACCCCCATGCACATGCCTGGGAAAGTCCTGTTTTAACGTCTCTTGGTTTGTTCTGGCATCAGCCTCCCTGGCACTACCCATAGTCGTGTTGCCTTTGTCTAGACTAGAATCTGAATTACTCCCTTTAAGCGGCCTCTCTCCATCCATCCACCCGTCTGTCTGTCCATCCATCCATCCATTGATCAAAAAGTAGTCTTCTTAAAGTCTAAATGTGATATTAACACACTTTGACTCAAAATTTTCTCTAGGACTGTATTTTCTTCAGGGTAAGGTCTAAACATGGAATAAAAATGTCCTTCAGAGACTGTGTGACTCTACCACCTTAATTTTACCATTGTGCAAGGCAGAGGCTGCTCTATGTCCATTAAAACCCATCTATTCTTCAACAGTTTCATAGAGCTGGACTACATTTCCCAGCATCCTCTGTCACTGCTCACAGGTGCATTGCTGACCAGTGGAGTACAAGCTGGATGTCTGTGGCTCTTCCCAGCCCCGTGACTAAGGCATGCCTGTATCTTTCCCATGGTGTCTTTTTCCCTGGACCTGCTAAGTCCATGGAAGGACCTGAGGACCTAGGGGGGACAGGGCCTGAGGACAACCTAAGGGGGACTGGACCTGAGGACCTGGGGGGACAGGACCTGGGGGCATAGGGAAGGAGAGACATAAAAGACAATAGAAGGTTGGATCCTGGGATTATTACCTGGGAGGCTGCTGCCAGGAACACTGGCAGTAGGTTAGACTTGTTAGTCTCCTCTCCTTTCCCCATGGCCTTGTCCACCTGTCCCCTGCTGCTATTTTTTCCTGGAAGTTTCGCTGAGGTCTAGGATTGGCACATGCTGTTGAATGGCTGGAGTCCTCTGCCCTCCTGTTTTTTTAGTTTCTCTCCTGACCAACTCTCAGATTTCAGATGAAGCTCCATTCCTGCTGAAAGCCAGCCTTCCCCAAGACGGGATACACTCACCTCTGGTGTGAGTTCATCACTCTCTGTGTCCATCTTCTTTAAGCATGCACTTATCACACACAGTATTGTAACTGCCTATCTATCTGTCCGTCCCACTAGATCTCTCTAGCTGCCTTCTCAAATACTTGGCCTGTGTCTTGCACTGTGACGTACTGAAGCGCTCACACAGGGACCGGCATGCAGTGTGCGCTCACTCTGTGATTGGTAAGTGATTACACTGCTTGTATTCATTCCGCTCACATGTATGTGTCGATACCAGGATCCCAGACAAAGTTGCTGAAGTTCTTGCCCTTGTAGAGCTTAGTGTGATGCAAATGGTGAGCTTTAACATAGATCGAAACAAATGACATGCCTACTGGAAAATTAGAAGGAAAATTAGCAGCAGCGGGAGGATTCATTTGGATTATGAATTGGACCTTCCATGGCCTGGAATTCTCAAATCGAGTTTGTTCTCATTGGGCAAAGAGCCTCATCACGATTTACAAATGAGAGAATAAGGTCGCTGTAACAGGGAAGTCGCGTTGGTACACGAGCCTTTTCCCCAGTATGTTAACACGTTGTTCCTCCACATCTCACACAGCTGCACCCAGCTGACCCAGGACCAGGCCTCCTGCAGCTCTAGCCCTCAGCTCGTCTGTCTGACCACTTCTGTTTGATGATGACACCGCAGGTCTCCCTGATGGTGCATTTCCCTCATTTCCATAACTCACCAACCTCCACCCTAACTTAAAATGCTGACATAAACTGACCTTTGCCTGTTTGCCAGTGGGTAAGTGTCCTGCATGCATTTATGCTCGCAGTTCTTTACATATATGGGACTTAACATCTTTTAAACAGCGCCAAATGTTTTTCCCAGGATTATATTTGGTTTTTGTGCATTCATTAATTTCAAACATTCAAAGATTCTTGGTTTCACAAAACTAAGACAGTTTCAAGTGGCCTACCTCGAACTTCTGCTCTTGCTTATGCCTGCTCTTCTTCCATAGATGTATGGAACACGGGATACTCAGGAGCTGGCATGTTGTGTCGTAGCAGAAACCCCCCTCCTCTCCGCTTCCTTCCTAGCTGGCCTCCAAGGAGTTTCCTCTGGAAATGACTAGGTGCCAGCTCTTCCTGCCATCCACCGAACACTGGGCACGTCATTTGCTTCGATCTGTGTCAAAAAACCTGTCCAGATCTACTTGTCTAACTGTGAACTTGGCCTCTTCACCCATCTTGGGGAGAGTTTTCTGTACAAGGCATTTCAAACTGGATGTACTGTCACTAGCAGAAATGAAACGTGGAGGGGACAATTCTGCGGATCATCCTGCAGTGACAGAGCTCTGTGCTGGTGCCTCTGTCACACTGGGTGATGCCCCTGTATCAGCAGCCAGCCGTGCAGGAAATCTTGGAGCAATTGTCAACTCATCACTGTCTTTTGTTCTGTAGATCCATTTTCTTTAACTTTGGCTGTAATTGTATGTACTCTTCCCAAGTGTGGTCCTTCTTAACTACGCATTCACTTTATCCCCTTGCGTATTTCACAGTGAAATCCTCTCAGTCAGACCTGGTGTGTGCAGCTCTAGCATAACCTAGGAAAGTGAGCAAGTTTGGGGTTTAACGCGCATCAGACTTTCCCTCACGGGATGCAAGGCAGATTAATCAACCTGCCCGAGTGTCTGTTTTTCTCTTTCCTAGGCAGAGTGGGAATACAAAGGTTTAGTGTGAGCAATTGTGCTATCTGAACAACCACATAGACATTAAAGGGCATATTCACAACCCCTGAGTAATAAGATAAAAGACAAATTGACAAATATTTGCCAAAAGTTGAAAGGGTTAAAATTATACTTTAAAAAGTTTTATAAGCTATTATGAAATCAACTGAATGCCCAGTAGAAAATGAGAAAAAAGGGCCTCCCCTGGTGGCGCAGCGGTTGAGCGCTGGGCTGCGAAGCTGCCCTCAGCCTCTGCAGTGCCGGTTCGATCCCCGGCCACCAGCGAGGGTCCCACATGGCGCGCAGACCTCTCCTGTCTCGCCCGCTGCTCCCCTCAGCAGTGTATTTCGCCAGTCTGCCTGTTCTGTTCCCTGCTCTGGCTCTGGTGAATTCTCTCACCCTCCAGTGCTTCTGACAGGAAGGAAGGAAGGAAGGAGGGAAGGAGGGGAGGGAGGGAGGGAAAAAGAAAATGAGAAAAGAGATATAAATGGTTTATAACAAACCAATGTGAAAACTAAAATTAGGGAAAGACATTAATCATACTAGTAAACAGAAAAATACCAATTAAAATGTCTAACAGTACTAGCCTATCATAAAATTGGTAAATAATAAAATAATTAAGTCCAATATTGAAATAAAGTTGTACTAAGCAAAGATACAAACTGGGATTTAATTGGGACAAAGTATTTCAAGATTTCCCAAAATGTATTAGAGCTCTGCATTTTAAAAATTTTGACTTGGTGAAATACCTTCACAGAAAGTTCATGCCATCGGCATTTTCAGAATTCTCCATTCATACGAAATAAAATATAGTGAATCTTGCAATAAATTGTGATATATGGGATCATATAGCTAAAATGATTTCTTAGATAGCACCCTTTGAAAATGAGATTTTATATTTTTTGAAAGTCCGAAGTATGTAGTTTTTATTTTTTTTAGTTTTATGCTAGACATTTGTTCCTGAAAATTTATTATATATATTTAAATCTTTTAATTTGTTATTTTATTATTGAGGTAACATGGGTTTATAGCACTGTATATGATTCAGGGGACGAGGTTCACACCTCCTGAGATGCACCTCACCACGCCACATCACCATAGCACCCAGTGACCTTCCCCGAAGACCCTGGACCCTCCACCTACCCCTGCCCCACCTCGCTCTAGTAGCTGGAAAGGAGAGGACTTTAAACAGACACTGAGCATGCCAGGCCCCTCTCTGTAACAGGCTTACTATGTACAAATCAATTAGAATCTAACTGTGAGATGTGCACACATTTATATGCATGAAACAAACTCACTCTGTTTAGCAGATAATCAAGAGAATACTGTCCAAATATGTACTTTAAGCTAGGTTGCCAGATGTCTACCGAAAGGAGAAAATGTCCCTTAGTCTGTCCTCAGATCCTTTTGCCGTAATAGTCTCAAACAGAACATCTGGAGTATTTGCTCTTCTACTTTTTCCAGTTTCTTCTCCAAGAAGTTTAAAATCGAAGACAATCATTTTCCTAAGCCCTCTCATTCCCGAGGGTGGCCCTTTCCAACAGTCCCACACCACTTTCCTCCGCATTTTCACGTCAACTCACCGTCCACTTCTGTCCTGGCGCAGCTAAGTCCATCTCACATCACGATGATCACTCCGTCCAGAAGCAGAGCTCCGGTGCTTCCTACTTCTCCATTTCTTCCTGCTAAGTCCAGCTCTTTGGTGCTGTTTGCACTCCGCTGGCGACCGTGGATGGAGGGAAGTACACAGCCATGAGCACGGTTTCCAGGGCACTTCACAGCACCCACCGCCATCCACAGTTCCCAGTCAACTCCCTCCATCCTCTCAACTGCTCATCAGCATGCTTCCCTCCCCTGTTCTTGCCCTGTCATCAGCACCTTCTCCCTTCCTGACTCTCAGAAAAGGTGCTTCCTATTTCACTAAGACAAACAAGCAGAAAAGTTTCTCTCCTCCTCCCACTTGAGGAAGGAGGTGTTCTCTGGGGTCTCTGGTACTCGGACCCCCTCAGCAGCAGAAGGAGTGATGGTGCCCAGGTGAGGCCCCTTCCATCTACTTTGTTTCTTTAAGACTCACTGTAAGCTGGCAGCAGGCTTCTCAGAAATTGATATTAGGGTATGTAAGGGGTTTTCTCATATACTGGTTTCCATGAGTAAAGTATCCCGTGGCTCCTGTGAAAGTCAGCCATAAATGATTACATAGTGGTACCTTCTGTCTAATAAGAACATTCCAGTTTATGGGTCATGATGCCTAATGCACAGCATTACCTTTAATCTGGGGACTCTTATCTTTGCAGTTTCCTCCATGAGGCATTTCCAATTCATAGCCTTAGATCATGATTCAGGAAACCACTATAGCTGTGGGAAGCAGGAATCCAGTACAAATGCTCTTCTCTGTTTCCAAATTAGCCTCAGGATCTATACCCCTGTGAATACGAAACTATAGGTGAGCACTGTAGCAGTTCTGAGAGGAGGACAAGGCAGTCTTTAGAGCCCTGGTCCTTTCAACTCGGCTGCAGCGTCAGACAGTCAGATGACGGTGAGCAAATGCCACAGTGACAGCCAGGGAGAGCAGACAAAGGATGCAGGAGGCTGGGGTTAAGAAAATAAAAGGGGAGAAAGTAAACAAATGGAATTTGAGGCCCATTTTCCAAACATGTAAAACAAATAGGGCCACATTCCTCAAAAAAGCCCGTCTTTGACAAACACGCCACAGAGGACAGGCAGACACTCCGCCCCTGGAGCCACTTTTCAGGGATCTCCCCAGTCCTTTGTCTGTATTTTTTCCTTGTCTTTATTCCTTGTCCTGTGTTCATAAATATTGCCAAAGTAAAGCAGTAAGTAGGATGTGGAAAAAGAGCTAAAAGGTTTGAACTCCAGCTTCCCTCTTACAAGCGGGGGTGGTGTGACTGATAACTAGGTCAGTGTGGTCTCGTTTGTGAAACTAGAAAAATAAGAGTCTGACTCCACTGTGCAGTACATATCTACTGAGATAGGGAGGAAACTGATGGTCAAAATGCCCAGCATACTGGGGTACGAAATGCCTCTTTCTTTATATGACTGTTATCCTCGTCCTCCTCTTATTAAGGGAGACACCCTTCCTGGGCAACCTCGGTCATTTCTGGTTTTGGCAGCACAGTTATTCTGTGCTGACGTTCAAATCAATGTCATTGGTCCGGAACGCTGTACAGAGCCCCAGGGTCTACCTGTGAGGGCCCGGAAAAGATTCAGCTCAGTGTCCACTACCCTATTATTTTATCCCCAAAGGATGATTGTGCTTGATTGTGACTGTGCTGCTGGCCTCGGGGACCAGTCCTACCAGTCACCCCGCTGGGGTGGGGGAGGGCTGCTGTCTCCTCTCCACATCCAACACAATGACACGTCTTCTGCCTGTTTAGCCTCCCGTCATGTCAGTGGCGTCACCAGTCTTTTCCTCCTCCCTTTTCTCCTCCACGCCTCCAGTCCTGTTCCACCACCGAGCAAGTTTCATTGTCACCAAAGTGATGTGTCTACAGACAAAACTTATTTTTTCACTTCTTAGGGTACAAACTTCTGTGGCTTCCCATGGCCTACAAAATGAGGTCCGGATCCCTTAGTATGACCTTGTGGGCCCCTAAGAACTGCGGCTCTTCTGGACTGGGTTGCATCTCTACCTCTGCAAGCCGTGGCGACCAGCAATTTGCAGCTGTCCATACAAGGTCATACCTCAGACTTTCTGGCTTCACCCATTCCATTCTCTCATCTGAGAATGGCCTTTGCACCCCAGCCCCATCCAGTCTTTCCATCACCCACCGAGAACCTGTGCATCTTTCCAGGCTGGGCTCATTCATGGCTCCAAGAATCCCTCTCTGATACCTCTTTCCAGACAGAACTGGTACCGCCTCCCAGGTCCTCTCTGTAGTTCTGTCTGCCTCTGTCCTGTGTGCCATGATCACACGTTGTTGATGTGTTTGCATGGTTGGCTCTGCTTACAGTTCAAGTTCCTTAAAGGAAACAACTGACTATCTACTTCATTGTGGTTCAGTGCAGGATACAGAGGCCACCCCCAAAGTTTGCAATTTGTGGAGTGGTCAGTAATGAGATTTCTTTCTTTCTTTCTTTTTTTAAAAGATTTATTTTTATTTATTTGGGCCTCCCCGGTGGCACAGTGGTTGAGCACTGGGTTGCGAAGCTGCCCGCAGCCTCTGCAGCACTGGTTCGATCCCCGGCCACCGGGCGAGGGTCCCACATGACACGCAGACCTCTCCTGCCACACCCACTGCTCCCCTCAGCATTGTATTTCGTCAGTCTGCCTGTTCTGTTCCCCGCTCTGGTGAATTCTCTCACCCTCTCACACTTCTGACTGTACCCAGTGATTGTATAAATAAATAAATCAATTTTAAAAAAGATTTATTTTTATTTATACAAGAGCCAGGGTACAGGCCAGATGCCCAGGAGGGTGAGAAGATTCACCAGAGACAGAGTGGGGAACAGAACAGGCAGGCTGACGAAATACACTGCTGAGGGGAGCAGTGGGCGAGACAGGAGAGGTCTGTTCACCATGTGGGTTGTTCCGAGGCCAGTGAAGATCTAACCAGCACCGCAGAGTCTGTGGACAGCTTCACAGCACTGCACTCAATCACCTGCACTACCAGGGAGGCCCGGTAATGAGATTTATTTCAAGAGCTGTGGGTAGGAATTTTGGAGACCAAGAATGGATAAGTCAGGGCTTGGAAGCTCACATAGAGGAAAGCCAGCCTGAGCGTGAGGAGGGAGTAGTCACAGACCCCAGGAGGGCGGCTGCATGGGGAGGACCTTCTAGTGCCCAAGAGCGGGGGTCTTTTCTTCAGGGACGCTGCTGGCCTGAAGCAGTGCTCATGGGGAGAGAATGGGGCACTACATCCTCCCCTGATGTTGCCCATACTCTGAACCCAATCTGCACCTGGGAGCATGGCAGGCCCCTGCATAAATCTTCAGGGGTGTATGGGTTGGGGGGGGTAGAGCCCACTGGAATGACAAAGGACAATGTACAGAAGCCTAGAAGGGCTGACCATGCTAACTGCTAAAAAGGTAGAGTTTGAGTGAAAATTCATCCCCTGAGAATGTGTCTTTGCAACTTGTTCAAAACAGACAGGAAAGAGTTAAACACAAAGGCTCTGAAATAGCTTTTCTGCCAGCTTTCTACGGGATTATGTTGTGCAGCCACTTAGCTGCTTCAGCAGAGAGATGCTTTAAAGGGGAAGAACAGGAAGCAGTGGAGAGAAAGGTCTGTCATATTTCCTGAGAGAAATATATTCCCAGTGGTGTCACCCAGAAGGTGGTCCTCTCTGACAAAATGGTGATTTTTGCAGAGGAAAGATGCAGAAAAAATGAGGAAGGCGTACCTGTGACCACAGCTTGCAAGTAGACATGACAAGAGCGACGCCTAAACGCATGTGCCAGTGGCACGGGTAGACAACAGAGCGTGGCAGTGATAGGTGGAGAGACACAACGCCTTAGTGAAGGAAGGAGAAAACAGAGAAATATAGTGAGCTAACAAGGAGTTACCGCAGGGAAAGCAGGTGGTAGCATCGGTGGGAAGGTGAGGGAGCTGCAGAAGGAATCTGTAGATCTCCCGTGGAGCTCATAACTGCTTGAGAATCCGGAGCAACCTATCGGCCTGGACTGTCCAGGAAATGATGCCGTTCGCCTGCCAGCAGGCCCTGCCCCAGGCCAGTGCTTCAGTAAGGCTGGGGAAAATGACCAGGAGGGGAGGAGCACCACCCCCCACCGCCTACCCCGCCAGACCTCACCGTCAGTCAGAAGCAGCTTGCGTGGCCTGTACGCGTGCAAGCTAGTTCTTGGCTAAACTGATGGTCGTTTTTACATTCTGTGGGTCTGGAATTAGATTTAGGCAAATCACATGGTTGAATAAGGTGCTAGTCGTGTGGCTGAGAGGCCCCAAGTGCATACAGTCTATGGGGAGAGAATGGGGCACTACATCCTCCCCTGATGTTGCCCATACTCTGAACCCAATCTGCACCTGGGAGCATGGCAGGCCCCTGCATGGAGCAGGGTTTGACTTCAGACGCTCCAGGAAACCTGGAAGCCGTGGCTAGTGTTTGCTCCTGGAGCGCCCGGCATCAGACAGGTCCCTGGCAATAGTCGCTCTACCAGTGAGCTGGGTTTCAGTCTTACTTTCTTTGTAAAGTGTGGCTAATACTAGCCTCTCCTTCAGAGGTTGAGACATTTTAAATCACAACTGGTGCACGTTAACACAGGAGACGGCACAGGTTGTGTTCAAATCCTAGGTAATATTAATAACCATCAATATTACTAAACTATCATAGAACCTGCTTTTTACTTGATTTGTATGAAGTTGAAAGGAAGAAAAATTGTTTCTGTTTTGAAGATTGCAGAATATACATATTTAAGATATCATTATTATAAGTATGTATTCACGGTAGAGGGGGGCTGATCTGAAAAGTAGTTTGAAAGAAGCAGTTTAGAGGTCACCAAGAGCCACACCTGTTGGGGAAGGGACTGTCCAGCCACCACGCTGTAACTGGGATGGCAGATCATTGCAGAATAGTACTTTGGGAATTAATCGTTACAGTCCTAAACTATAATGCCACAAAGTGTCCTGGTTTTTTAACCACATTTTTCTTAAGGTACATAGTTTTCAGAAGTAAAACGGTGAGGCATCTACCATACATACGTGTGTCATCTAAGTGTCAGTTTCAAGAGTTACTACGCTTTGCAAATAAAGCAAGAGCCTGTGTTTACACACATAGTATGCTTTTAATCTTGAAGTTTTCTGACTAAATAGATGAGACTTGTTTTGGTCAAAATTATGATTTGTTGGGCCTCTCCGGGTGGTACAGGTGGCTGAGCGCCATACTGTGAAGATGTCCGCAGCCTCTGCAGCGCCGGTTCGATCCCGGCCAGCTGGTGAGGGTCCTACATGGCACGGCAGACCTCTCCTGTCTCACCCGCTGCTCCCCTCAGCAGTGTATTTCGTCAGTCTGCCTGTTCTGTTCCCCACTCTGGCTCTGGTGAATCCTCTCACCCTCCCGCACATCTGGCCTGTACCCTGGTTCTTATATAAATAAATAAATAAATCTTTAAAAAAAACTAATTAAAAAAATGATTTGTCAGGAATCAAGCAAATGGAAATAAAATCCTCATGGACAATCATTCCAAGGTAAATAACAGTTCTTGTAACCTTAAGAGTTTCGCCCACCTGGATGGCGCACCACAGGCCATGTGAGCTGAATCCGTGAGCTGAGGCCAAGGTCAGGACTGCAATGCACCCACCCTCCTATCCACACTAGCTCCCAGCAACTTCCTCCAGTGGGTGAAAAGTACAGGTCAGCCAAAATCCATTCCCCCATAAAGTAGTAGTTAACCATTGTGGAATTCCTTTGCCGTGACTTAAAAATTATGATTTTTTGAGTCAAAACAATGGATTATTTTCTGTTCTTCGTTTCTTTCTCTAACTTCATTTAGAAAAATGTAAAAAATAAATACAGTTTCATCAGATAGAGGTAAAGGGATAGGCGGATTATGGGCACTTAACTAAGAGTCAGAGTCTGAGGGGCAGATGGGGGGTGGGAGGCAGGATCCTCTTTAGTATTTTAGATAGTGCACTGTTCATCCACGATGGAACTCTTTCTGTTCTGTATCTAGAACATCTATAAAATTAAAACCATTTTTCTGCAACCAACATCCCTAACCACCAACAGTGATTCAGAAAGCAATGACGGTCCTTCTGAAATTGGGGTGTAGAAGGGAAACCAAATGGATACATGTCTAGAAGACCTCCAAGTGATTCTTGCTGAGTCTCCTAGAAGAGTGGATCCCTCTTTCTGCTGTCTCCCTGCTGAGAATGTCTGGGTAGAATTATGGGTGAAAACGAGGTGCAGTGGGCATGACTTATGAGAAGTGTTTTAAAAAGAAAATGACATTAAATCTTCATAAGCTGAAAATTTTTAAGTGTTGCTTGGTTAGACCCCTTTGTACGTGTAAACACACTGCTTTACTCGATGTCCACAGCAACTCTGAGGGGTATGATTCCCAGCCCAACAGGGGAGTGTCCCGGCGGGAGAGGGCAGGATGTTCCTCTGAGATCACAGGGCGAGTGAACAGGTAACAGTGCTGAGATCGGCGCCCGGGCCGTCTGCCTCCAGAGCCCACACCACAAACCACGGCCCTGTGTTGCACAGTCCTGTTGCTGTGTGGCCACGTGGCCTTGCCTGTGCCGCCATGCCAGAGGCTCCAGGTTTTCTCCTGTTGACTGCCTGCTTGATGACAGCCTCCTTCAGGGTGTCCTTGGGATAAACAGAAGCTCTGCCCTGTGCCCCACATGCACACATGCATAACTCCAGCAGAGGCCTTCCTATTCCTTCTCTGCCCCAGCTCTTGGGGCTACCAGCTGGCAGCTCAGTCTTGGTCTGTCACCTAAATTGCTTGCTTTAAGAATCTCCTTGCTGGTAAGCCTTCCATCTTGCATCCCCCAAGTCTAGTAAAATGGCTGCCGGGCAGTATGTTTAACCCTTCCTCTTACTGAAATTAAGATTAATACGTCCTAGCTAGTTGCATCAATACCAATAATCCAGAGCATCAGATAGGCCAGTTCAGAAGTCCAAGAAAATGTAGGTTTCAGACAGAACTGTAAGCCTTTGCTATTACCAGCTTCCAGTCATTTTTAAGTACTAGGTTCAGCATTTTTAGCATTTCTATGGGTTAAGCCCTGTGTTAGGTACTGAGGAGAATTTAGGCATCAAATATGAATAAGGCTTATTCCTAGCTCACAAGGAACATGTGGTCTAGTGGGGAAAATAAAGAATGTATGAGGCCATTAAAAACAGTGTAGTAACATCATAGTGGTAGTAAACAGTGTGGTAAAATCAGAGGAGGAAACACTTTGGACCGGGGTGATTCAAGATAACCTCCGAGAAGAGGAGCCTCCACACTGCAGAGTAACTGGAGTCAGAAGAGACAAGAGCCGAAGCAATAAGGTGGCTGGGAATGATGTTTTGAGATATTAACTCAGATTTGCCTCTTGTAATGTGTTTCCTTTTACACGTTACCCCTCCCCAACCCTCCTCTCATTATAGGGGAGAGATAATATATCACAATATATGAAGAAAACCTTTTGATTTTTAAAAAGTAAAGCTTTTAAATCTCAAAAGGCAAGGCTTTTGCAGTGAGGGAAGCTAAGCCTTGAACCATTCAAGGCACACAGTTTATGCCATAAACAAGGAATAAAGAACCAGACCCCCCAGCTCAGACTACCTGAAGATTCCCCAGACTGAGGAAAATGGAAGCTAACCCAGGAGGAAGCGAGGGCTTAGATGCTCTTAGCTTCCTGAAAAGCACCCTGTGTGCTGCTTACCCTGCCTTTGGAAGGTATAATTAAACTCTCAGGACTGAAATACTCAAAACAGGATGCGACCTATTCAAACCAAGGATAATAAGGAGAGCCAGCCTTCCTCAGCACCTCACAGGCCTGAGTCTACCAAGCATGGCGTCAGGCAGGTCCTGAGGGTCTACCTTCACAGCCTCACCTTTGGGTGAGGCGCTCTGCTGGGTCCCAGAGGGCTGAGTCCTATATCCAAGGCTACCCCATACAAAGGCAGCCTTCAGAGTCCGACCCGAAATCCTGCTCCTCATCATCGTGCCGTGTGAGGACCTCACAAAACTCCCCGAGTCACATGCCAGCACCAGCTGGGATCCAAACAACATGACCTCATGTCAGACGCAGGGAAAGAAAGACACATTTTTGAATGACTGAGCAGGGCGCAAAGCCATAGTAGCAAAGACAGGTTTTCGGGAATGATCTCTTTGAACCCTCCGACGGTTCCTTGTGCAAGGATTACCAACTTAAGTATGAGAGAGTAAAAATTCATGTATACTAACCTGTGCCAGGCTCCGTGGTGAGTAGGTGACCAGCAGGCTCTGACCTCGGGACCTGACTTGTCCATCCGGGACCGCAGTCACCATGCCACCTGTGGTCCTGGAAATGGCAACCACGGGGTGGTGTCAAAATGCCTGGCTTCCGTCTGTTACGGGGGAGCCCCCTATTCTCATCTTGACACCTCCTCCTGGTGGCTCCGGTGCTGTGACTCAGTGTGGTAGACCCCACATGGCCAAGCCTTGTCTGTATTAGAACGATGCTGCTGTCACAGCCGAGATGTGCCCCACTCCCTCCTGCCTCTCCCCTGCCCAGGCTGCTAAACCTGCATCATGACCTAAGCTTGTGCTCTCCTGCGGCTGCTTCTTTCCCCAACCACCAGCTCTTGCATGTCTCACCCGCCTTTGCCATCTGCTACTCAGTAGACCCCCAACGAATGTGATCGGTTCTAAGACTGGCCTGAGAAAACAAGCTGTAAGATGGGGATTCAGTTAGAGCTCATTAGCCACCCATCATGTCTGAAAAGTGGTCCAAGAAAATCACTGGCACAAAGCCCAAGTGCCCGAGATTGCACTGGGTGGTGATCCGCCTTACAGGAAAGATAGTTCTGGCACTTGGAAGCCAGTGGAATTGGCTAGTTCCTGCTAACTCCTGTTGCTGTTGAGCCCCCCACCGCGGGGAGACACCAGGTCATTAACAAGCATTTAACAAGTATGAGAGCCTGAGGAATTCATGGTCTCTCTGGGAAAGCCCTTCCCTCCAGTACCGGGAAAGCAGCCCAGAAGCTGAGGAAAGATCAGCTGGCGTCACGGGGTTCCAGAGGCCTCAGCTGCTCAGAAAGGCAGGTGTGAGCTCAGCCCAGGGTCCTGGTGGGGGAGGTCTTGGAGCATGGCATGGGGACGAGAGGGTGGCAGCCTTGGACGCTGGCTCTGTGCTGGCCCCCGAAGCGGCAAATGGGCCTCTGGCTTCCCCAGGAAGGTGCTGCTGGGGCCCCTGCTCTGTGAGGCAGCCCGTGCGCTGCACGCTGGGCTCCCCCCCTCCCCACCGCGTTAAACCCCAGAACCACCCCTGCGTCTTGCAGGCCTTGAAGAGGGAGGAGAAAGACCACATCTGAAAGCACTTGTAGGAATCAGCGAGTACCAGCGAGAGAGGACGAGGACACCTGAGATTGCATTTCCTAAGCGCTTCCCAGAAAGGACCAGGGTGTAAGATCTCACTTCCTGGCACAGCCTGGAGGTCAGAAGAGGCTCCCCACTTTTCCCCACTAATCCCCTAATTTTTTCCCATAATAAATTCCCTGCACCTCTCCCCCAGGTCTGCTTCTAGGCAGACCTGAACTAACACAAACAGTGAACACAGCCATGGGCTTTAAGCAAGCAACTCTAGGAAAGGAGCCACAAGCAACTATGTAAGAGCCCCACTGATCCGGCACCCTAAAAGCCGGGCTGAGACTCATGTCCTCACCCCTCCGCAAGGTGTCCGAGGGGAAGACTGAGGAAGATTTAGAGCCGGTACTGAACATAAACAAAGGGTGCTGGGGGTATAATAGTTTTGGCACCAGAATTAGGAATCAGATATTTGAAAATCATTTCAAGTTGTTTGGAACTTGAGTACTAATGCCTGCGCCCTCTGGGCGTGTGAGGGACCTTGGCCGTCAGGAAGACTCTCTGTCATTCTGCCTTGAGCTGTCCCAGAACCCCTGGGCCCTGCGTCACCCTCAGAGCCCCCAGATCTGGGGAAATGAAGGTGACAGGGTGCCTTTCAGTGAAGAACCTGCTACCTGGTTCTGTAGGGGAGGCCCTGACCTTTCCATGTGGGTGTTTCTCGAGAAACTGTGAAGGACCGAGACTGTCCTGGGTGTCAACAGATGCCAGAGGGATCCCAGGGCCTGTTTCAAAGTTGCTGTTTTTTTTTTTCAGTACTTCCCATTTTGTGAAATATTTTCTTGATTACAAAATAGAAAATTTTGTGCCACCCCTTGTCTCCACGCCATGCTCCAAGATCTCCCCCATCAGGGCCCTGGGCTGAGCACACATCTGCCTGTCCTGGGCACGCTGATGTCATCCATTTCAACAAGCAAAGTGAACTAAAATATCATGGTGATAGCGCCAGCCTCTAACTGAGAGGCCGCTCAGGTAAATGTAAGCCCGTTGGGAGTCTACTTTAACTGTTACTTATTTCACTGAAGGTTTGGAAGAATATAGTGTTTTATGGAATGATGTAAGTCTGTGAGTTATCTGTGACAGTGACTCTAGTACCGTGTTAGCCATGACGAGGCGGTGCGCACATGTCAGTGACGGGACATTGAGTCTGTGGAAGGTGGCACAGCTGTAGCCATGTGTGAGCTGCCCGCTATCGAATGATGCGAGAAGCCTTTCTGCCAACTAAAATCAAGCAGACTTTTCACTTTGGGACACTGTAGGAGGGACACTGCTTCTTGGTAAGAATCAGTGTTCATGCGGATGGGTGTGCTTTCCACTAATGACTCAGGAATGATAAATAATTTGAAAATTCATAAATATGGAGATAGACTCATTATTAAGTCTAACCACTTATTTTAAATAAGATGGTTCAAGTAGAGTGAAAGCATTCATCGACATAAATGAAAGCAAGTGTAATTAAATTTCCTACAATCATATTTAAATATCACACTCCTTACATTCCACAGCAGTGACCCTGGATCAAACTTTTCATGTTGATACCTGTAACAAAAAAGTTCTCTTTTAATGCCCCAGGTTATCTCTTATTCACACATCCATAGAACCCTAATTCAGGATGTTGCAAATTATTCCTGCTTAGCATTACCTAGTTGCGGTCTTGATTTCTATATGTACATGTTTTAAGCCCTGTACATGTTTATATAATATAAACGGCCAAATTATCTAAAATTTTAGAGCTATTTTCTTCTATTTGAAATTGGAGAAGGGAAAGTGTGTGTATGTATACATACGTGTGTGTTGTACATACATGTGAGCACATACATACATGAACCAAATGTAAGCTGTATCTTCATAAAGCAAACATGTATCTACTGACTGAAGAGTTTCTTTCCAAGTTGAATATTGACAAGGAGTAAGGGCTGACCCATTGGGAAGCCTCTGACCCTCGGGACATCAAGCCCCCCCCCCCCCGCCCCGCCCCGTGCTTATTCCTCCTCCTCCAGCTGAGCTGACAGGCAGTTCTGGCCGCCGCCACGGCCTCCACTCTCCCAGGCAGTGGGCAGTGCCTTGCCAATCCTGCATCACCACACCCCACTACTGTGTCCTGACTCCCGGTTTTCCTCAAACACTGATTGTCTCCTCTGAGCACCAGGGGCCTGGAGACCTGGTTTCACACCCGTGGGTGGGGAGGAAGGGCCGGAGCCCATCTTTTTAATACTTATATGGACAAGGGATGCAGAAGGGGTGCAAGATCCACACCAAGCCAAACCAGGAGCTCTCGCTCTCATTCTTGGAAGCCAGTAGAGGAAGAGAATCATTCTGCCTGCTAAGGTTGCGAACAAGGAACAGGCCAGCCCAGAACTGCTGGTGCTTACCCCACGAGGAGCATCTGCCTGGAAATAAACCCAACATAAGCCAGGCCAGAGTGGAGGGAAGCCCCTGCCAGCAGAGCTCCTGAGTCCAGGCTCAGCCACAGCTGGGAGGGCCCTTCCCCTCCCTGGTCACCCGATTCTTGCTATTCGTGAAGGGACTTTAGGTTGAGGCTCCATCACTTGCAGCTTAAATAGATCGTGGTATTTAGGTTCATCTATAGAGACTGAAGAGGGCACGAGGGAAATGACACCTGGCTGAGCTCAGGGGACCCGCAGGCAGCTCAGTGGAATCTCTCCCAGTGGGGTCTCCCTGGGAGGGAGTGGGCACCAGCTGTTTGCCTCTTTGTGGCTCGTTGCATGTTGAGAGCCCAGGTAGTGCCCAAAGAACAGACATAAAGGAAAAGAACTGAACTAGCACAGTTGGCATGCACGTGCCTTCTAAGGGGACTTGACGTCTGCTCAAGTCAGAACCACGTCGTGGGGATAATTAAAGACTATGTTCCATTTTGTACGTGTAACTTTACCAGACCCATTCTTTTATATCAAATACGCTACTTGATTACCTCCCAGTGCCTCTCTGGGACTCATTTGCTCTTTCTCCCCTGCGTGCCTCAGCTGGGGCATGTCTGTGGCTCTCTCCTTCTGGACACAGAAGCTTTCTCAGCTGTGTCATGTCTGCCAACTGCCCCTGGAAATGCATTCTTCATCCAGGGCTGTGTGTTTCCTCTCCAGTGTGTCCATGTGATCCCTCCCACAGCTCCTCTCTGCTGAGACCACCAGTTGTCTTGCCTGCTACCCACCTGTCCATGACAGCCACGGTCCGCTTTGTCTCTCCTCTCTAGATGCCTCTCTGTGGATTTGGGCCAGTGTTGGCTTGTGATATCAGTGCTCAGAGCCTTGAGAAAAGCCATGGACTTGCTGTGGCAGCTTGTTTTCAGTGTGGAGTTGAAAGTAATACACTTTCTAGTGTCTCCATCTTCCTCAGTGGAAGCCAGGAGTCCTGATTGAGACTTTTACCTGTCAACAAAGTACATCTGAAGCAATCGCTTCCACCCATGGTTCATGTCTTCAACTCTGCCATCTTTGTCTTCGTAGCCATGTTATTCAAGTATTGTATTACATATAGTTTTATTATTTGATAAAATAATAGCATAAAGCAGGAAATATGACTGTTATTCTTGAGAAAAACAAGCATTTTCTTATGAGCTCAAAGAAGTTGCATCCAAGACTAAAAACATGAAGTGCTGAGACTAGTAGACTTTGGGCTTCGATCACAGTCACTCGGGCAAATTCAGTTTCATGTAGACTCGGTGAAGAGACAGCAAACACAATTAAGGAATCAGTATGAAATGCATGGCATGGCTATTCGCAGAAATCTGGTTTGTATTTCAGGATTTTGTGATTTTGTCTTTTTTCTCTGAAAGGAATGCACTCATGCACAGCCAGCATTTGCATACATTGCTGCAAAGCAGTGCGGTGACTAAAAGTCTTGCTGTAAAGTCTGTCGAACTCACTGTGTGTTGTCTTCTTTGTTCCAGAAAAGGTCTTGGGTTCAGGGAGACCCAACTGGAGACACAGTGTGTATATCACCCATATACATAGCTGCTCAAAAAAAAAAAAAAAAAAAAAAAAAACAGATCTTTCAAGTAAACCAAATAGAGTCATCATACAATTATTCAGAAATTATCCTATTAGAATTCTAGTGAAGGGCTGCCAGCAGCCTCTACAGCACCGGTTTGATCCCCGGCCGCCGGGTGAGGGTCCCACATGGCGCACAGACCTCTCCTGCGGCGCCTGCTGCTCCCCTCAGCAGTGTACTTCGTCAGTCTACCTGTTCTGTTCCCCACTCTGTCTCTGGTGGATCCTCTCACCCTCCCACGCTTCTGACTGTACCCAGTGTTTGCATAAATAAATCTTTAAAAAAAAAAAGAATTCTACTGAAGATCTCAGTTTCTGTCTCCACCCTCCAGCATTTCCTGGCCCATTAGCCCTTCAAGCAGACATCCTACAGTAGTCCTTCATTTCTTCCTTCCTCCATCCCACCCTTTTTGCCCTCCCTTCTTCCTTCTCTTTCACTTACTTTCTTTTTCCCTTCTGTCAATCTTTCTTTTTCCTTGCATTCACTTTTTCCTGCCCAATACTAATTTTCCTTTTTATTCCCAATTGTCATACCCTGAATTTCCCTGGAGAAGTACTTCTCTTTCATTCTCAAGGAAATGAGATTGGGAGAGGTGATGTCCATGCAGATCCTCAGGACAGGCTAGATTAGACTTGGCATATCACAGTCATGTAAGATTACCCAAACTTTCCTCTCTGTAATAACTGCTTAGGTGGGGGCCTCCCCAGTGGCGCAGCGGTTGAGCGCTGGGTTGCGAAGCTGCCTGCGGCCTCTGCGGCGCCGGTTCGATCCCCGGCTGCTCCCCGGCCACCACAGGAGGGTCCCACATGGCGCGCAGACCTCTCCTGCCGCCCGCTGCTCCCCTCAGCAGTGTACTTCGGTCCTTCTGCCTGCTCTGCTCCCCGCTCTGGCTCTGGTGAATTCTCTCGCCCTCCCGCACTTCTGACTGTACTCAGTGCATGTATAAACAAAACAAAACAAAAAACAAACAAATAAATAAATGAAGAAAACATGCCTCTATAGAAAAAAAAAAATAACTGCTTAGGTGGTGGGGACATATTCCAATTTAGGGCTCTTAAATACACCAATACTCAATTCTGCAATTTTTGCTGGCCATGTCAGGAAAGAAAATTTCTTCCCCCTAGCCAGGATTCCTACCAATGGAAAGTAAATGTTTGGCGGTGCTAGAGGTCACAATATGAAGACCTGTAGCCTCAGAATAAAGTCACCTGAGAGTATTGCCCAGACAAAGAATAAGACAGGATAGTGGGATAACCCCCTCAGTCTTTATTCAGGATCTTTCTTTACCTGAGATAAGAAATTTCCCTATTATTGTTCCCTATTTAAGCCACTGTGACTAGTTACACTTTCTACCCTCTTTAAGGAGTAAATGATTGACTTTGGGGAAAAAAGATCTAACAGAACACAGAATCCAGAACTCCATTTACTCTTCCAGAAAACAGAAGGTAGATTATCTAATCACTGGATAATGTGGTTCCAACTTGGCAAGTCAAGAAAAGATTAGGTTGAGAATGAGGTTATGAAGATAGGGATGGAGGAGTTTGTATGTGTAATTTATTCTTCACTCCTCCCCTCTCCAACTGTGCTATGAGGTGTAGAGGAAGCAGTAACACACTTATTTCCTTTTAAATTTTTAGAACTTCTAGCAAGATGCCTATTTCCACTCTAATCCATTTTAAAGCCTATTTTTTGCACTAGCCTACAAATATGCCACTAAGTAGTCTACTAGATCATCTTCACCTAGAAGTCTAGAAGTAAGTCATTACTTAACATCTCTTTTTAATAGTGAGTATATAAGACAATCACCTACAATACAAGCAGTGATCAAATGATCAAAAACAGCCATTGAGGGACATTACAATAGCTTTGGTTAGTACCACTGTGTTAAAGCTCCCAAAGTAAGATGACATACTAACTTCATGTCACAAGTAAAAGGCAAATTTATCTTCCAGTGGGTATTTCAGAGCTTACTGTTGGTGGCAGTTGTAGGCACAATTCGAGAATTCTTGTTAAAGCCACTTGAAGCAGATGAAGTCTACACCAGATTCCTCCATCTAGTGCAGCCTCTGGCTTTTAAAGACAGGACAGGGCTGACAGACATTTTCAATCTGCATCAAGAACAGGTTTATTTACCTATTACATGCTACTTCCTCTGATAGACTGGAGAGGGCATACAAGGATGACGTAAAGGGGGAAATAAATGTGCAGCGCTGGCAGAGTGTGTGGTGATTACAGACAAGAATTAATCAGCATTCTCCATGCCATACACAATGCCATTAGAATAGAAACTGCAAATCTGTTCAAGTAATGCAAACACACTGCATACATAGAAGGCTAAACAAGTAAAAGTATATCATCAGCCGTGACTCAGATTACATTGCTAAATTGTGAGCCAGATTCCTTTAATTAGCCTTTTAAGAACTCCATCTCTGACAACTTTATAAGCTGGAAAGTACTACATCTTCTCAGGTTCACAATTTGGTGATGGTATGGGATACATTGAATAATGAGCCTGCAAATGAACACTTA